ACGTGGCAGCTGAGAAAGTGGATGAAGCCAACCTCGGATTCAGAATACTGACCTAATTTCCAAGCTTTGGGCTCGGCATATCATTCAGTTCAACACTCTGGAAAGCTTATTGTCTAGGGTGTGTCTGATCTACTTAAACCCACTTTTGGTGGGGACTCTGGAGCCAGATGACCTGAGCAGGCGACCTCAGGGAAGTCACTTAAACCTCTGTGTACTGTGGCTCCATTATCTGCAACGAAAGTTTGTGAACTCTCTACAAAGTTGCAGGAATGAGTTCAGATGTGTAAAAGTATAGCACATAGCCCAAGTACCTTGGAGGCATTTGCTATCACCATTAATAAGTAATGGAGGGGCCGGCGCTGTGGCATAGCAGGTAAAGCTGCCGCCTGCAGGACCAGCATCCCATATGGACACTGATTCAAGTCCCGGCTGCTCCACTTCCCATCCAGCTCTCTGCTATGGCCTGGGAAAGCAGTAGAAGATGGCCCAAGTCCTTGGGCCCCTGCACCCATGTGGGAGACCTGGGAGAAGCTCCTGGTTCCTGGCTTCAGATTGATGCAGTGCTGGCCACTGCGGCCAATTGGGGAGTGAACCAGCGGATAGAAGACCTCTCTCTCTCTCTCTCTTCTCTCTCTGTGTAACTTTGCCTTTCAAATAAATAAATAAACCCCTTTAAAAAATAATTTGAATACCTGACTAAAACCGATGTGAATATTAGAGATTTGTGGTCACAGAACAAGACTGAAGTTGACCGTTCCAGGGTCCGTCCTGTTACTTAACCAAGACAGCCAGAGGCAGACTCTGCCCACGTCTGATTGCTGTGCTCAGCATGTTAAGGATTCCCCACCTCATTGTGGAAGGAAGGCTGCAGTGGCTCCGAGTATTAAGTCCTCCCCTGGCCACCACCCTTAGCAGGAAATAAGCAGATGGGGCCTGCCTCCTCGTGTAGGTCTCTTAACTAACACAAAAATCTCTCCAGTTAGTTCTCTGCAGGTGTTCTTTTCGTGGGAACTGGAGCCTGGTCCCACCTGTTAGCCTATAACCAAAGGCTCACGTGGGGCTGGGGCTGGCTGCTGGGTGCAGCCACGAGTGCCCACCACAGCCCGGAGGCCAGTGAATTTCTGGGGTGCCTCACTCAGGCCATGGGTACTTGGGAAGCAAGAATGCAGCAGTGCTCATCCTGAGTGAGCCACAGCTTCGTCCTTGGGGGATCATGGGCTTGTTAACAGTAGCCTTTTAACCCAGGTAGCAAGAAGGGGGTGAATTATGAATTGAACATTTTTAATTTTCTTAAATGTTTTTTTATTTCTTTGAAATGGGGCGGGTGAGGGTAGGGAAGAGAGGAGAGGATTCCCCCATGTCCATCTTCTGGTTCACTTCCCAAATTCCTGCAACAGCAAAGGCTGGGCCAGGCTGATGCTGGGAACTGGGACTCAAACCAGGTCTTCCAAGTGAGAGTCATCACCCACTGCTACTCAGAAGTGCATTAGCAAGAAGCTGGAACTGGAAGCAGAGCCAGAACTCAAACCCAGGCACTCTGATATGGGATGTGGGCACCCCAAGAGGATCTTCACTGCCGTGCCAATGCTGGGCCCTAGAAAGGGTGTTTTAGAGCATGGGGAACTTCCTTGCATTTTCATATGTTTTTTTTCCAAGAAAAAGATTTATTTATGTATGTATTTAAAAGGCAGAGCAATAGAAAGAGGGAGAGACAGAGGCAGAGATCTTCCATCCATTGGTTCACTCTTCAAATGGCAACAATGGCATAGGTGTGCCATACTACAGCCAAGAGCCTAGAACTCCATCATCCACATGGGTGGCAGCAACCCAAGTGCTTTGGCCATCATCTGCTGCTTTCCCGAATACATTAGCAGGAAGCTAGATTGGAAGCGGGCCGGGACTCTAAGCTGCGCTCCCATGTGGGATGCTGGCATTACAAGTGGCAGAACCTGCTGCACAACAAGGCCAGCCTCTCTCATCTGTTCTTCCATCCACTGGTTCACTCCCTAAATGGCCACAACAGCTGGAGCTGGTCCGATCAGGAATCTCCCCATAAACCAAAGGAAAGGGCTTGTAATTCAGTGCGCCTAGTTGGGAAGGTTGGCCAGGCTGGTCACTGTTAAAGCTAACTCAAAGGCACCCTCCTGTCCTCCTCAATTGCTCTTGCAGCAGCCTCACCCACAGATGAAGAGAGCTGTGTGTGAAGAGCTGCTCTGGGGCAGGCACTGTGGCATCATGGGCTAAGCCTCTGCCTGTGGCTCTAGCATCCCATATGAGCACCGGTTTGTGTCCCAGCTGCTCCTTCCAATCCAGCTCTCTGCTATGGCCTGGCAAAACAGTGCAAGATGGCCCAAGTGCTTAGGCCTCTGTGCCCTTGTGGGAGACCCAGAAGAAGCTCCTGGCTCCAGATCGGCCCAGCTCCAGCTGTTGGGGCCATTTAGGGAGTGAACCAGTGGATGGAAGACCGCTCTCTCCTTCTGTCTGTAACTCTACTTCTCAAATAAATATTAAAAAACAAAACAGAGAGGGAGGAGAAAGGGAGGGAAGGAGGGAACAAAAAAAGAAAGGAAGAGAAGACTGCTCTTCACATCTTAGAAGGTCTCAAGCCCAGTTGTTGCCCTTCAACCTACAGTCCCACTAGGTCGCCAGAATTTGGTCCCATGGTTTCTCTCCTCCTGTCTGCCGAATGCCACAACTTCCTGTCTAGTCTCCCCAGAAAGTGTCTCCATCTCGAGAAAGACAGCAGCAAGGTGCACAGAGAACTATGAGAGATCCCAGAGACAGCTTTTATAAACACCCACAAAACGCCTTCTTTCCACCAGCCCAATCCATTAACAAAAAGAGAATTTTATTTTTAAAGATTTATTTGATGGGCAGAGTTAGAGAGAGAGAGGAAGACAGACAGAGATCTTCCATCCAATGGTTCACTCCCCAGATTGCTGCAACAGCTGGGGCTGGACCAGGCTGAAGCCAGGAGCCAGGAGTCTCATCCCAGTCTCCCACTTGAGTAGCAGGGGCCCAAGCACTTGGGCCATCTTCTGCTGCTTTCCCAGGTGCATCAGCTGGATCAGAAGTGGAGCAGCCAGGACAGGAACTGGAGCCTATTTGGGTTGTGATGCCGGTATCACAGGTGGCAGCTTTACATGCTATGCCACAACACAACAGTGGCCCTGAGAAAATAAATTTCTTAAATTTCAAGGCACCTAGTTTCTAACCTGATTCTGATGTACATGTAGATGTTCAATAAATATGAATTAAATTAAATCAAAAGCTCAAGGTTTTTATTACTCAACCTACTTAAAGCTTTTGTAAACCTCTTGGGGATTTGCATCAAGCTGTTAAGTTGGAAAATTTATAAAAGTAGTATTTTCAATAGACCAGATTCCCTCTTAATGTGCTTGAGGAGCTTAACTATAAACCAGTGGGGAGGGGAGAGGTACCAGGGGGGTGGAGGGAATGGAGGAGGCGAGGAGGAAAGAGGAGTCTGTTCCAGCCCCTTCCTGCATTTCTCATCATTGCTGTCCTTGTTAACCAGCTACTGCCCTCTAGTGCTTACTGTCAAAAGTTCTTGCCTGAAACCTACTGTTCTTAAACCTAAATACAGTGTAAGGATTTTTATTATAATTATACATTATTATCTTCTAGTACAGAGTGCTTGATGTACATAATCGTCTGTAATATTATTTTTAAAGATTTATTTACTTATTTCAAAATCAGAGTTACACAGACAGAGAAGGAGAGGCAGAGATAGAGAGGTCTTCCATCCGCTGGTTCACTCCCTAATTGTCCACAATGACCGGAGCTGTGCCGATCCGAAGCCAGGAGCCAGGAGCTTCTTCTAGGTCTCCCATATGGGTGCAGGGGCCCAAGGACTTGGGCCATCTTCTACTGCTTTCCCAGGCCATAGCAGAGAGTGGGATCGGAAGTGGAGCAGCTTGATCTTGAACCAGCGCCCAGATGGGATGCTGGCACTGCAGGCGGTGGTTTTACCACTGTGCCACTGCACCAGCCCCATGCAATTTTTTTTTTATTTATTTTTTTAATTGAGAACATATGAAGTCTAAAATCCTGTTGGCACCTGAAAGGGACCAGACTCCACCTCTTGCAGATCAGAAAATTGAAGTCCTCAGGACAAGGCATTAAATGGATCAAGAAAGCTTTCTAGACTCTAAGTTATCCCATCTGTAACTTATCTGGCAAACTATTTATTTCAAAGCATTTCCCAGAAATTTCAATAACATATCAGTAAAAATTATAGCACACTAATCTAAGTATTATGTGTTATTTTCAATGCTATTCCAAATAAGGCTAAGAAATACTGCTGGCCAAGTTTAAACAAAGATTTATAATTAACATTGGTACAGTTACTTAGAGAGGTATTTATTTACTTGAGAGGCAGAGTAACAGGAAGGGAGAGTCAGAGAGAGATCGATCTTCCAACTGCTGGTTCATTCCCCTAGATGCCTGCAAAAGCTGGGGCTGGGCCAGTTGGAGGCTGGGAGTCTGGAACTCTACCCAGGTCTCCGATGTGGTGGCAGGGACCCAAGTACTTGGGCCATCATCTGCTGCTTTCCCAGGTGCATTAGCAGGAAGCTGGATCAGAAGCATAGTAGCTGGGACTAGAATCAGCACGCTGATATGGGTTGCAGGCAGCACAAGCAGCAGCTGAACCCACTATGCCAACTTGCCTGCACCAGTACTGGTGCATTTAAAACTTAGGACAAGCTTAGATGTAGTCTATAGCCTTAAAAAAAAAAGTTAACTAGAACAGACCCAAGTGGATTTGGCCATTTTTCAGAACTGATTTATCATTTTCTCCACACAGGCTAATATTCTGTTAAAACTCCCCCCAAAGGAATCTCTTTGCCTGTTGATGGGAACTGGGGAGAGGGGAGATTGTCATTTTATCTTGGAACACATATTTTCAGCATTTAATCATTTTGCTGATGGGAATAAATTGAAAATTATCCAGTTGGATGTGTCACTTACAAGAACATCCCTGAGTAACAAAAGATTTATTCAAATGTTTAATTGGAAGAGACTACATCTGGAATAGGTTTTACTGGAATTCATATAAAAAGGAAAGTGAACCCATTAGAACTAATATCATAAACAACGATTTTATCTGGAACCAGAAAAACCAGAACTATTAGTGGATTGGAATCTTGATGTCCTTTTTTTTTTTTTACAGCAGTTATGCATTATTACTGTAGGTAGAGCTTTATTTTCAGAGAATATTCTAGAAGCAGACCATTCAAATCTTCTAACCTAGTCACTTTGCCCCCTCCTCCTCAAAAAAGGAACAAAAAGAAAGTGCTGGGGGGGGGGCACGTTACTGTGAGGCTGGGACATCTGGGCTTCTGTCAGGAATGAACTGAGGGGCGTTTGGCTTTGTCCTTAGATGTCCACGTAGATGCCATTGATCAGATAATCAAGCCGTGAGTAGCGCTTCCTGCGGAGGGACTCGGCGAGAATCCTGCCCAGGAGGACGAGGCCTATGACCAGGAAGAGGACGCCCAGCAGCAGTGTCCCCACAAGAAGCCACTTCTCAAGGGGCAGGCGATCGCGGCCCGCCGGGGCCCTGGCCTCCCCATCACCTCGAGAGGCAGCTCCATGGTTAGAGGACGCCTCTACTTCTGACAAAGAAAGCGTGGCAGGGCCCTGTGTGTCCCCAGGATGCGAAGTGACGCTGGTGATTTTTTCCCTAGGCACCGGGACAATGGTGCCTTTCAGGTCGCTAGGTGCCTGGAAGGTGGTGGTGGGAGCTGCTGTTGTGGCCATGGCTTGGGGCGTGGGGGGCAGAGAAGTGACAGCGGTTATCCCTCGAGCCGTGGTGGCCTCCAGCGGCCACACAGCCACAGAAGGTGCCACTGTGGATGGGAGAGCCACAGTCTTTGGGGTAGCAGAGTCGGCATGTGGAGAAGCACTTGCCCCAGCAGCTGGGGGCGTAGCCACCTTCTCAGGCAGCAGCTTAGCCGTCTCCTGTTGGGAGGAAAATGGTGTCCCCTGAGAAGGGCCTTTTTCTTGATCGGCAGGCATCCATGGCACACTCACTTGCTCCATCTTGAAGAGCTTCTCCAAGGGACGTGGGGACCCCACCTTCTGGGACAACACATCTTCCCATGAGAGGTCAGCAGACTTTGAATAACCAGGTGATGGAAGAGTGAGTGAGGGCGTGGCTGCCTGTGGCCAGCGGCCGTGTAAGAGAGAATCTTCTCCAGCTGGCTCCTGGCTCGGCACATCAGTTTTGGCCAAAGATGGAAAATCTGAACATGGAGAGAGAACAAAAGGGGGACTGAACATAGAGGTCTATGCAAAGGTAAGTTTAAAAAATGCAAGCTTATCAGCTTGTTTGAGTGTCACTGAAATGTGCAAGATAGAAAACCACAAATGCTCACTCGGCATCTGACCACACTGCCTGCCCACCAGATGCTGTGACCAGCATCAGGGAACGCAGGGGCAAGATGCCTGAAGGTGGATCAGGTGCACAGATGTGGCAAGCGATGGGAGCCATGAAGCAGAGATGTTAAGGGGAGCTGGCCAGGCAGCAGCAGGAAGGGGTCTGGGAAGATGGGCATGTGAAGGGGCCAGGTCGACATGGGCAGGAAGGGCTGGCAGGGAGAGTGTGGGCATGGGGCATCAGCCCCTGCAGGATGTGCCAACCAGGACAGAGATGACAAGTGGCCATCGGAACAGGTTTCACAAGGAGCGCATGGGGCGGGCAGGGAAGGGAGAGTGAGACGATGGAGTCCGGTGAGGAGGCAGAGTTCCCAGGATGCACACGGCTGACAGGCATGAGGCTCTGACAGCAGGGAAGTGGAAGGCACCAGGAGGGTCTGGTCTCTTCTGAGGGCACTGAGCCCAGACAGTGGCAGAAGATTGCTGAGGTTTTCAGACCCAACATGTGGGACACATGATCCCAGCACTGCACTCCGAGCAGGGAGGCTGTCTGGGGGATTTTGAATTTTCACTCCTAAAGATTAAAATTTTACAGCCAATATGTTGGGTCATGTGGGCAATGAGATCAATATTGGAAATACAGATATAAAGAGCAGAAAAGTACTCAGCACCAGGCATTTGGCACAGTGCTTAAGATGCTGTCTGGTAGGTACCCTGCATCCCAAAATTGGAGTTCCTGACTTCCGGTCCCAGCTCCGTTTCCAGCTCCAGCTGCCTGCTGATGTACACCCTGGGAAGCAGCAGGCAGCGGCTCAAGTCCTTGGGCTTCTGCCATCCTTGTGGAAGACCTAGCTTGAGTTTCAGGTTAGCTTAAGTCTGGCCCAGCCCTGGCTGTTGTGGATGTTTAGGGAGTGAACCCATGGATGATAGATCTCTCTCTCTCTCCCTCTCTCTCTTACAAATAAAATGAAGAACATTAAAATTAAAAAAAAAAAAGCTGAATACTACCGAGTTCTGATTCATGCTGTGGAGGAAGCAGCCTCAGGTCCTGCTCAGGCTGGAGAAAGTACACAGTTTTGCTTTCAGTCACACCCACCACTTATCACAGTGCAAACTGGAAAGGCTTGTTAAAGCAGTCAGGTGCAGCGAGTGATAATTTCAATTGCTCTGTGCATATTAACTCTGCTGCCTGGGTAATCACTTTACTGAGATTAGAACTGCAAAAGCACAAGGAAAGAAGCGAAGAATTTCTTAGCATGTCTCTCCTGCTTCCTTCCCTCTCTTCTTTCTCAATTCTTCTCAATGTCAGCTGTTAAATTACAACCTCCCTCCTCCCTAACCTGCCCTCCCCCCCTCCCCCCCGCGGGGGGGCACTTCAGATGTATATTATCTGTGACTACTCTCCAAGCCTCCGCCTCCAAGCCTCCAAACAGCCCTTTAAAATGGTTACTTATTAATCCATCCAGGATAGGTGGCAGCCAACTGCGGTCCAACGGACCAGTCTGGTTTTGGATGGTTTGCAAGCTCAGTATGTTTTAAACAGTTGTAAAAAAAAAAAAAAAAAAAAAAAAACCAAATTCAGGGACTGGGTGTCCTGTGGCAGCAGATTAAGCCACCACTCATCCCATACCAGAGTGCCGGTTTGAGTCCCCACTGCTTCACTTCCAATAAAGCTCCCAGGTAATGTGGGTGGGAGGAGAGGGGAAGGTGGCCCAAGAGCTTGGGCCCCTGCCACCTATGTGGGAGACCCAGATGGACTTGCAGGCTCCTGGCTTAAGTATGGCCCAACCTAGCTGTTGTGGCCGTTTGTGGAGTTAACAAGAGGTTCGAAGATCTCATTCTTCCTCTGTCACTCTGCCTTTCAAGTAAATAAAATAAATCTTTAAAAAAAAAATCAGAATAGTGCTTTGTGACAAATGAAAAGTATGTGAAATTCAAATATCAGTATCCATAAATAAAGTCTTATTGACACACAGCCATGCTCATGTGTGTACACATTGTCTTTGGCTATTTCCCCACTACAAGGTTAGAGATGAGCATGTACAGCACGTTGTGAATGAATCCCAAAGCCTAAAATGCTGACCTGAGAAGCCTGAGATACTATCTGGTTCTTGCCAGAAAAAGGTGGCAGGTACCTGATCTTGAATATAGTACTCTACCCTAACACAGAATTTGGATGTCTGAGGTAGAATCGTTTTTTTTGCAACATTGAAAGTATCATCTTAAGATAAACAGCATTTGTGTTTTTAAGTCAGATCAGATTTTTTTAGAGTTTTACAAATATTACTACATCGAGTTTTAGAACATTTTAAAAAGATTTATTTATCTATCCGAAAGAGTTACAGGGAGAGGGAGGGAATGAGTGAGAGAGAGAGAGAGAGAGAGGGAGGGAGGGAGGGAGAGAGGTCTTCCACCTGCTACTTTACTCCCCAAAAGCCTCAATGGCCAGAGCTGGGCCAGGCCAAAGCCAGGAGCCAGGAACTTATTCCAGGTCTCCCAGGTGGGTGCAGGGGCCCAAGCACTTGGACTGTCTTCCACTGCCTTCCCAGGTGCATTAGCAGGGAGCTGGATTAGAAGTGGAGCAGCTGGGACTTGAACCGGCACCCACATGGGATGCCAGCACCAAAGGCAGTTTTATCCACTACACCACAGTGCTGGACCTAAGATATTTTTTTAAAAAGGAGTTGGGACAGGCATTTTGCATAGCAGTTAAGACACTGCTCAGGATGCCTGCATCCCACATCAGAGTGCAGAAGTTTGAGTCCTGCTTCCACTTCCAATTCCAGCTTCCTGCCAATGCACACCCTGGGGGAGGCAGCAGGCGATGGCTTAAGTACTTGGGTCCCTACCACCTACACAGTAGGCCTGAATTGAGTACTGGGATCCTGGCTTCAGCCTGACCCAGCCCCAGATGTTGCAGGAATGTAACAAGTGAATCATGGGTAGAAGATCTATTTCTGTCTCTGCTTTTCAAATAAAATAAAAATATTTAAGAAATGAAAAAGCCTTAAAATCTTAATGACTCAACATAATTCATTTTAAAGTTAAAAAAAGATAATTTAAATAAGCGTTCTGTGAGGTCTATGACATCAGAACTTAAAAAAGGCCATTGAAAGGAACCACCAGAACAGCTGTTTTCTCTTTCAAGCATGCAAGCTCATGAAGAAAGCAAAGTCAGGCCAGTCCCATTTCTTGATAAGATCCATCTATTGGCAAAGATCCCAGAAGCACAGAGGGCTCTGCACACCTGCCCCATTTACCTCACCCACAGATGTGTGCACCGGGGCGTGGTGCTCTTCCTGCTCATGCAGTGATGAGCTGCACAGGGGCTGGGAGACAGCCCTGTGCCCTCACCTCCTGAGTTTCATTTTCAAGCAACTTCACTGAATCAAAACATGAGGGGTTGGGACAAGTGTTTAAAGCAGCAGTTAAGCTGCCACTCGGGATGCCTGCGTCCCATATCAGAATGCCTGGTTCAAGTTCCAGCCACTCCACTTCTGATCCATCTTCCTGCTAATGTGCACCCAGAGAAGCAGCAGAGGTGGCTCAAGTACTTGGGTCCCTAACACCCACCCACTGGGAGACCTGGATTGAGTTCTCAGCTCTTGGTTTTGGCTTGACCCAGCCCTGGCTGTTACAGGCTTTTGGGGAATGAACTAGTAGATAGAATATCTATTTCTTGGCCGGCGCCGCAGCTCACTAGGCTAAGCCTCTGCCTTGCGGCGCCGGCACACTGGGTTCTAGTCCCAGTCAGGGCGCCGGATTCTGTCCCAGTTGCCCCTCTTCCAGGCCAGCTCTCTGCTGTGGCCCAGGAGTGCAGTGAAGGATGGCCCAAGTGCTTGGGCCCTGCACCCCATGGGAGACCAGGAGAAGTACCTGGCTCCTGCCATCGGATCAGCGCGGTGCGCCGGCCGCGGTGGCTGTTGGAGGGTGAACCAACAGAAAAGGAAGACCTTTCTCTCTGTCTCTCTCTCTCACTGTCCACTCTGCCTGTCAAAAAATAAAAATAAAAATAAAAAATAATAAAAAAATCTATTTCTTTCTCTCTCCCTTTCAATTACATACATACATAAAACATTTTTTTAAAGTTTTTTTTTTTTTTTAAATGAAGGACTATCACTTTGGTAACTAACTGAGCAACCAAATTCTCAATTTATTTTATTTCTGAATTCTGTTCTTCCAGTCCTTGGTAGAAATGACTACAAAACTGCAAGATAAAAATTAAATAATGTCAAGCTACAATGGTTTTATAGAGTGAACAAAGCTCGCTGTCTTCTTCCAAACATTCAATCTGCAAAAGTTAGCCCATCAATTATAGGAAATAGGATCCCTCTGGAAATAAATCACCAGATATCCGTATTTCATTTCACTCCAAATAGGAGGCAGATCATTTGTTTCCAGTGATGTAATCTGATCCATCAACAGGTGCAGATTCAGAAACAGAATCACAAACACAAATGGACACAGACTAATTGCATAGTATGTCCCAGGGTGGGTGCGACCTTGCCACTTGCTTTGTGCTGATGGCACCCTCTGGTGGCTACTGTAAGAACTGTTCTATTCTAATTCCATTTCATTGGCCTCACACTCCCTTAAAAGGTGTACACGTATGCTGAATTTCCTTCTTTCCTGTTTCCATTGGCAGAGAGAGAGAGAGAGAGAGAGAGAGAGAGAGAGAGAGAATATCTCCTATCCATTGATTTACTACCCAAATGCCTGAAATGGAAGCCAGCAACTGGGAACTCATCCACGTCTCCCACGTGGGTCGCAGGGACCCAACTACTTGAGCCATCACCACTGCCTCTTAGGATGCACACTAGTAGGGAGCTGGAAGCAGAGCTGGGACTCGAACCCAGGCAATTTGATATGGGATGTGAGTGTCCCAAGCACTTTCTAATCTCTAAGCAAAATATCCACCTACTACTTCTCTGATACATACATTATAAAAGCAACAACATGGTAGAAGAATTAGGAATATTAAAAACAAATTCAACTGTTAATTTCTATAATCTATCTCAGCAACAAATAATTTGTATACAAATAGTTTCTGCTTCATGCTCCTTTTTAAGGGAATGCTGGGTATATCAGGTTTCCCTGGTTCATAAAATCACCTTTACAACACCAGAGTGGGCAGGCATTTGGCACAGCGGTTGTGGCTTAGAATGCTTGTGACCTGAGTTCAAGACTTGACTCTGCTCCTAAATCCAGCTTCCTACTAATGCTCTTTCTGGAGGTAGTGGGTAATGGCTCAAGTACTTGGGTTTCTGTCACCTATAAGGGAAACTCAGATTGAGTTCCTGGATCCTGGGTTTGGCTTGGCCCAAACCAGCTATCATGGGTAATCCTGGGGAGTGAGCCAGATGATCAGAGATCTCTCTCTGTCTCTGTGTATATGTGTGTTTTTATGCTTTCCAAATTAATTCATTTTTTTTTTTTTTTTTTTTTGACAGGCAGAGTGGACAGTGAGAGAGAGACAGAGAGAAAGGTCTTCCTTTTGCCGTTGGTTCACCCTCCAATGGCCGCCATGGCTGGCGTGCTGCGGCCGGTGCACTGTGCTGATCCGAAGGCAGGAGCAGGTGCTTCTCCTGGTCTCCCATGGGGTGCAGGGCCCAAGCACTTGGACCATCCTCCACTGCACTCCTGGGCCACAGCAGAGAGCTGGCCTGGAAGAGGGGCAACTGGGACAGAATCCGGCGCCCTGACCGGGACTAGAACCCAGTGTGCCGGTGCCGCTAGGTGGAGGATTAGCCTATTGAGCTGCGGCGCCAGCCTAATTAATTCAATTTTAAAATTTCCACGTAGCACGCTGGCTTAAACACTTCCAACTGCTACTCATCACAATCTAAAATAAAAACTCTCTCCCCTGTTTAACAAAGTTTCATGTGATCTGACCCTCTCACCTGGCATCCTAACCACTGAGCCATACACCTATCCCAGGAAATATTTCTGGACTGAATTTCCCTCCAGGTCTACACAATAAAATCCAGTGAGCTTGATTTCAGATAATGTGATTGTGAAACAATGGGACCTTAATGAGAAACATACTAGACTGTCACACATTTTCATGAGTCTTAGCCTTTTCCCAACAGTTAACTTGGGGACCCGTATTCCAGTGTTGTCGGCATTGCTTTAAAGGAGTGCTTCAAAACATTTCATTAGGGGCTGGCACTGTGGCATACTGGGCTAAGCCACTGCCTGCAGCACCGACAACCCATTTGGGTGGCAGTTGGTGTCCTGGCTGCTCCTCTTCTGATCCGGCTCTCTGCTATAGCCTGGGAAAGCAGTGGAAGTTGGCCCAAGTGCTTGGGCCCCCACACCCACGTGGCAGACCTGGATGAAACCCCTGGCCCCTGGCTTCGGATCAGACCTGATCTGGCTGTTGCAGCCATTTAGGGAGTGAACGAACAGATGGAAGATCCCTCTGTCTCTCCCTCTCTCTGTGACTCTGCCTTTCAAATAAATAATCCTTTAAAAAGATTTGTGTACCTTCTACCACAGAAAAGCTAAAAATAGAAACAAAACAGAACAAAAGCCATCAGGGCCAGCACTGCGGTACAGCAGGTTAAAGCCCCAGTCTGCAGCCCCAGCATCCTGTACAGCTGCTGGTTCAAGTCCCGGCTGCTCTACTTCTGATCCAGCTCCCTGTTAATGTACCTGGGAAAGCAGCTGAGAATGATTCAACTCCTTGAGCCCCTGCATCCATGTGGGAAGCTCCTGGCTCCTGGCTTTGGATCGGCTCTGGCTGTTGGGACCATCTGAGGAGTAAACAAGTGGATGGAAGACCTCTCTCTGTCTCTGTCTCTCTGTCTCCACCTCTCTCTGTAACTCTGTCTTTCAAATAAATAAAATAAATATTTTAAAAAATCATGAAGAGAACTTTCAATGGAAAGTAAATTTTAGCTTAATAAATTGAATCTCCAGTGACGAGATTGTCTGGTGTGTCTTCATATCTGTGAACCCTTTTGGTGGTTTTATTTGGAGTCTTAAAGGAAATCTTTCACATAAGCCACATCCTTCAACAATTCCAATCACAGAAGAAAAAGCATCAGGCTTTCTTTACCTCGAATTATCCTGTAGCTCTCAAGTCCTTTTGCTGGTTTCAGTGGGCAGGCTTCCTCACTGGGACAGAAAAATAGGTAGCAGTTGGGCTGTCCAGCGGTTTTTCGAGTATCGAAGATCATCAGGTTACATGCTTTGTCTCCTGCAAGGAAAGGTTTCATCAGCATGATTTTGAAATAGTGTGTTTCTAAAGAGGACGGTACGTAGGAAGACCTTCACTTAGCCCAGTGCCCAATGCCAACAACCTAGTTCATTTTGTTCTCTAGCTTGCTGCTCACTCAATCACTCCCTTTGCCTTAGTTTGGTCCCTTACAGCAATTTTACAAGACTGGGTTTAGGGGATTGGTATTGTGGGCTAATGGGCGCTGGTTCAAGTCCTGGCTGTTCCACTTCTGATCCAGCTCTCTGCTATAGCCTGAGAGAACAGTGGAAGATGGCCCAAGTGCTTGGGCCTCTGCACTCATGTGGGAGACCCGGAAGAAGTTCCTGGCTTCTGGCTTCTGATTGGCTCAGCTCTGGCCATTGCAGGCACTTGGGAAGTGAACCAACGAATGGAAGACCTCTCTTTCTCTCTCTGCCTCTGCCTTTCCATAACTCTGCCTTTCAAATAAATTAATTTTTAAAAATAGACATTGGGTTTAAACATCTGAGTTTAAGGTAACCTTTGGCAAATCTGGCTTTTGATAGGACATTGAATTCTATACAAATAAGCCTTCTGTTTGCTGAAACGTTCATCACTAGGGACACAGAAACACTGACTCTGTCACCTTTGCACAACTTAAAATTGAGTTGGGCCATAAAAAATGGCTGGAACTGTTAGGGATTTGGGGGACCTCCTGTATCCTGAAGGTGACTCAGGCACCTGGAAAGCCATCAGTCTGGTTTCTTGGGTGCAGTCAGTAAATATTTAATCACGTTGGGTGTCATGCCTCTTTCCAGGAAGGATCCGAGTAACGTACAGAACACAAGAGCTATCCTTTCATTTGTATCAGTCCCATTCTTCTTAGGGCTTTTCTTGGCACTTCCCCTCTTGTTTTATAATTTTTACTTTTCTTTTTCCCTTCCTTCCTCATTTTTTTTAATCCAGTAGCGTTGTTAAATTTTTTTTTTTTTTATTTATGTGAAAGACAGTGAAGGACAGAGGAGACAGAATCAAACACCTTCCATTTGATGGTTTACTCCCCAAATGCCCTCAACAGCGAGGGCTGGGCCAGGCCCAGCCAAGAACCTATTCTGGGTCTCTCATGGGTGGCAGGGACCCAACTTGTTGAGCCATCACCACTGCCTCCCAGGATGTGCATTAGCCTGAAGCTAGAAGCAGAACAGAGGCGAGAGCCCAATCTAGGCAATCGCACGTGGAGTCCCAATCCCCGTCCCAAACGCCTGCCCTCGCCTTCACTCTCAACTTCCGCTTCTAGTTATTTCCTTCTCTTACATTCAGTAGAATTTATCTTCTTTATTCATCATGGTCTACAGCTTTTTTTTAATTTAAAAAGTTTTGATGTATTAGTTATTTAGAAAATCAGAGAGAGACAGAAGACAATGTTCCCATCTGCTGATTCACTTCCCAAATACCTCGAATGGCAAGATCTAGGCCATGCTGAGCCCAAAGTCAAGAACAAAATCCAGACCTCTCAAGTGGATGGCAGGGACCCAGTCACTTGAGCCATCACTGCTGCCGTCCATGGTCTGCATTGGTAGGAAGCTGGAGTCAGAAACTAGAGCCTGGAATTGAACCCAGGTACTCTGATAAGGAATACAGGCGTTCTGAACCACTAGGCTAAACACCCACCCTAGAGCTGGTTTTTTAAGACTGGGTAAGGCCCAGTCTTACACCTTGGTCTGTGACCACTCTTGAGAGAATAGCACACCCCTGATCAGGTTGAAGGTTAAGGAGCACAGAGGCTAATTATTAAGAACACACATTCTAAGGGTTCTTTGAGCAAGGCACCCTAAGGCCATCTCAATAAGGTAAGTAGAGGCTGCTGCGGCCTGTGCATGACTGGAGGATTTGAACAGAGGGATAAATCAGCAGTCCCCTCTGACTTTCAGTCTGGCCTGGAGGGTTGGTGGGGGGCAGGCTTACTTAGGCCCGTGAATCTCCCCTCCCCGACACTCTGTCACAGAACCCAGTCTTGCCTTGCCAAGGTGGAGCACCGACCAACTCTTACTGGTTAGGCAGCTGGCCCTGGGAACACCAGAGTTCTTTCAATATAGAGGGGAGGCTTGTGGGGCTGGGAGTGGATTCCCTGTGCCCTGTGACAGTGTGATAGGGGGTGGCTGGGTCTTTCAGCAGTTGCTGTGTCTGGCTTCAGAGGCCTGGGGTTCTGTGCTCATTCTGAAGAGTGAGCGGATCCTTGGTGCAGTTCAGGGGCTTGCATGGGTGAAGTGCCTGCGTGCAGTGAGGCTGAAGGTGGGCTCGACCTGGGTCTCTGGTTCACCTTGGCAGAGAGGGGCTGACACTGTGATCAAGCCAACTGACATGATCTTTTCCTCCCCACTGCTGCAAACAGACATCTCCCACACCCAACGTGGGTGTCAGCATGGACTCTTGCCCCACCCTGCAGCGCTGGCCAGAGCTCCCTGGCCACACCCAGCACATGCCTTGGATATCCACTGAAGGAGCAGATACATCACTAAGCCCTAGAGCATATTTCAAAGGTAAATCTGATAGAGGAGAAAACCAACAAGTATTTCTACAAATGCCTAAAAATAAATGTAAAGATACAAGAAGCATGAACAAGGAAGACAATGACTCCCCAAAAGGAACACAACAATACTTCAATATTAGAACGTGAGGATGGAAAGATTGATGAAGTATCTGAAAAGGGATTTAAGAGAATGATCACAAGATTGCTCTCAGCCTTTCAAATAAATAAATCTTCAAACAAAAAATATTGTTCAAAAACACAGAGCACATACACGTGATAAAAAAACTATCCATGCATGATATGGATGAAAAATTCTGTTGGGAGATAAAGATATTGAAGAGGATTCCAACTGAAATATTAGCAAAGAATAATTCAATATATCCAATAGAAAATACAGTGGAAAGCATCAACAGACTTGATGAGGCAGAAGAAAGAATATCCGAGCAAGAAGACAATCCTTGGAAATATATCTCAGTCATACAGAAACAAAGAAAAAATTAGAAAAACCAAAAATAGTATTTGAGATTTATGGAATACAATCAAACAACCAAACATATGAGTCTTGGGGGGGCCGGTGCTGTGGTGCCTGAAGTGCTGGCATCCCATATGGGCACCGGTTTGAGACCTGGCTGCTCTACTTCCAATCCAGCACTCTGCTATGGCCTGGGAAAGCAGTGGAAGATGGCCCAAGTCCTTGGGCCCCTGTACCCGTGTGGGAGACCCAGAAGAAGCTCCTGGCTCCCGGCTTTGGATTGGCGCAGCTCCGGCCGTTGCAGCCAACTGGGGAGTGAACCAGGGATGGAAGACCTCCCTCTCTCCCTCTCTCACGCTCTCTCTCTCTCTCTCTCTCTCTGCCGCTCCTCTCTCTGTATAACTCTGACTTTCAAATAAATAAATAAGTCTTTTTTTGAAAAAAAGAGTCTTGGGAGTTCCTGAAGGTATAGAAAGAGAATGGATTAGAAGGCCTATTTAATCAAATAGCAAAAAACTTCCTTAATTTGGAGATGGAGAAGGACATCCAAGTACAGGAAACACATAGAACTTTAAACAGACATGATCAGAAAAGATCTTCAGCACAACACATTATAGTCAAACTATCAACAGTAAAACATAAAAGAAGTGTACACGAGAGAAATTCCAGATTACCTTCAGAAGATCTCCAATTAGACTGACAGCTAATTTCTCATCTGAAACCCTAAAGGATAGAAGAGAAAGGAGAGACATAGTCCAAGTCCTAAAGAAAAAAAACAAACTGTCAACCAAGAATACTGCACCCAGCAAAGCTCTCATTTATAAATGAAGGTGAAATAAAGACCTTCCAAAACAAACAGAAATTGAAACAATTTGTCACCATTCAACCATTCTTACAAACAAGATTTAAGGACATGCTACACACATAAACAGAGATTGTCATCATCATAAAAGAGCATGAGGGCAGAAGATCTTCTCATAGAAGTACAAAGGAAATTAAAAAACAAACAATAGGAATATTTATGGGAAAATGGCAGGACCAAGACGTTACTTATCAATAGATACCTTGAATGTAAATGGCCTAAACTCTCCAATTAAAAGATACAGACAGGCAGAATGGATTAAAAAACAAGACCGATCTATTTGCTGCCTATAAGAAGCACACCTCACCAACAAAGATAGATGCAGACTGAAAGTTAAAGAATGGAAAAGATATTCCATGCTAACAGAGAGCAAAAATGAGCAAGTGTAGACATCTTAGTATCAGATGAAATAGACTTTAACATAAAAACTGTTAAGAGGCTGGCGCCGCGGCTCAATAGGTTAATCCTCCACCTAGTGGCGCCGGCACTCCGGGTTCTAGTCTGGGTGAGGGGGCCAGATTCTGTCCCGGTTGCCCCTCTTCCAGGCCAGCTCTCTGCTGTGGCCTGGGACGGCAGTGGAGGATGGCCCAAGTGCTTGGGCCCTGCACCCCATGGGAGACCAGGAGAAGCACCTGGCTCCTGCCTTTGGATCAGCGCGGTGCGCCGGCCGCAGTGCGCCAGCCATGGCGGCCATTGGAGGGTGAACCAACGCCAAAAGGAAGACCTTTCTCTCTGTCTCTCTCTCTCACTATCCACTCTGTCAAAACAAAACAAAACAAAACAAAAAAACTGTTAAGAGACAAAGAAGGGCACTATGTAATGATTAAGGGAATCAATTCAAAAGGAAGAAATGACTCTAGTAAAGGAATATGCATCCAGTGTCAGAGTGCCTGACTATTTAAAACAAATGTTAATGGATCTAAAGGAGACCTAGACCCCAATACAATAATAATGGGGGACTTCAACACCCATTCATCATTGGACAGATCAACTAGACAAAAAAAAAAAAAAAAAAACAAAGAAACAGAACAAATCTACATTATGGACTAAATGGGCATAACTGATATCTACAGAACATTTCATCCTACAACTGCAGAATACACATTGTTTTCACAGTACATGGATGGACCACGTGCTAGGTCGTAAATCAAGTCACA